TAATAAAGAAATATGGATTGAAATCAATCATTTATGTATGATGTAATTTAAACTTCAGAAAGAGTTGCAATAACGACGCAATAAATAAATAAATAGGAGCAAATGAATAGAAAGGGTGGCGGTTATTGTTACCAGGGCAAAGAAAGATTTATTACTGTCTCTTTTTGTATACATAGATCTGGTTTTAAACGTTTGATTGCTAACGCTTCAGCGAATTTCAAAAGGTTCGAGTTTGATTGTTTGTTAATCACCTTGAAGGACTTCAGTATATCAACCTCACGTCCTGTATCAAGATGTCTTGCGATAGCACTGTTGAATGCGTTCAATCCATTTAACCTTAAACTTTTCGGAATATGTTCTTTGAGTTGGACGTAGGCTCTCCTTTCTGTTCTACCAATGTAACTGCTTTGGCAGGCACATGTAAATTTGTATACACAGTTGGTGGTAACATGAAAGGGATACCTGTCGACCTTTGATTGTGTCAAAGAACATGTTGTTTTGGACAGGACAATCAATTTCGACGCAGGATAAGTTCTTGTCAGTGCAGTTTTTAGTCTCATATTGATTGATCCTGTGACATCGTCACCTTTGAATTGAAGTTGAATAAAAATAGGCTTTTTATTTGCTGTAATTTCTTTCGGTTTTTTATCTTCACATTTGCCGTATTTCTCAATAAATTCAGTGGGTATCCGTTATTCTTTAAACATTTTTTAAGGTTCATAACTTCCTCTTCTGTTGTATCGGAAGTACATATTCTTTCTGTTCTGTGAAACAGTGTTTTGACCAGTGCATTCATCATGTTTGAGACAATTGATTGGCCTTTTTCAAATTAAGTGCTAACTGTAAGGTTCGCAGATTTTATTAAGATGTTCTGTAGTTTTGTGCTCAAATACATTCTATTGTACCCGATTGTGTTCTTGTTCACTACACTATTAGTGTGTTATCAATCGATCCTCCATGTCTACATTCCCATTGACTTAAAAATGAGAGTCAGACAGTGTGGTTGATAGCTTTTGTTTGTAACTTACGAATTCCAGTTATGTCTACGCACAGCAGATCAGGTGAAGGTACAAAAATATAATCGTGAAAAGAAGCGATTTCGTTGAACGAAGTTATTGTTCACTTCGTAGTTACAGTTTGAAAAACCGATGACTGTTGTTACGATCAGTAAGAGTCGTAGACTACAGACCGATAGTGAAGTTAGCACGAAGAATTTGTCTCTGCAGTATAGCAAATATCGAGTGCTGTATATACGTTCCAGAATGGAACCGAAAATATAGAAGAGAACGTAAGAAACCAAGAGTGTTACTTCGATTTCTTGTCAATGATATTGGTGCAAAACGCTTTCAGTGTTGAGATAAAGGAGATATTGTTAGTTTCAGTTTCGAAAAGATTCGTTCAACCACATAAGTTGTGATTCGCGCGAATGGCTATGTCTTCAGACCACCAATTGAAATGGATATGATGATATGACTAGGATACATATTCGGATGCCTTCTATTAGGGCGCATTCAGCATTATATGTCCGAGACTCACAGAACCACCTATTTTGAGTACTCATTTACCTCTGCAGGTTTTCCTGTGCACTGCTCACAAAGCAGAAACCTGTTCCCAGAATCTATACAAATTGTTTGTTGAAAATGCGTGGAATCGTACAAGATATAAAGTGAAGGTTGACTTGAAGGTTAGGTTGCCAGAAGTGTCTTGATGGATGTATCTGTGGCAGTTATTTTATCGGCAGTATCACCTTTAAAACCTCTGCGTATTCTTGGTCTACAGTCTCTTTCCGAAAGCATTGATGTGGAACCAGTATTTCTCAGTGGAATTTGTGAATACTGTCATATGAGTATGCTTATGAGTTGTTTTCCACTGAAGGGCCAAGGAAACAAAATTTATTTTCAATAAAAGGTTGCATCCTTACCATTTTCTGGTTCCTTATACGTCACTTACAGTTGTTCCAAATACTACATAAAAGTTGGGGCCTTCTGCTTGAGAAATTTTGTGTCTAATATTTAGCTTCACTTAGTTCACTTGCTATTTGTGTATTTCTTCCTCAAAAACCATCTGAGCATAATGGAAAGCTTTTGCTACGAAGTGTAAACTGTCGCAGTTACTAATTAGTGCCCCATATGTTCCTTCTTTAATAACTATGTCAGATGGAGTTTTGTGAAGTAGTTCGTTCATTAACTTTGTGGTCATGTTATCGTGACCCAATTTTTTTGTCGAACAGGTCCATGGCTTGTGGTGTTCAGCTTTTTCTTAGCTCGGCCACTAGATAGCTTCAATGTTTATGGGCAGACAATAGTTTATATTGGCTACGATAAAACGGTAGAACCAATAATACATTTTATTCAGTTTCCGTGTTATTTCTGAAGTTTATGTGTTGAAAGTATGACGATCCCTTGTTTTTGATCTCAAGTTCATAGTATATGATGCATTTTGGAAATTCTACACGTTTTATTTCCCGTATTTACAATAATTCTGCTACTAAATAACTCCGATCTACATGTATAACGGCTAAGGTCATACCTACACTAAGAGCATGTTAGCCGTTTATTATATCAAATTACGAAACACCTGCGAAGTGGTTCAGTTTTTTAACACTGATGATATTCACTCCTTAAACTGGTTTGTGTTTGTTCCTGGAATATTACTAGACAAGAGTAGTGAGTGCATATTATCGTTCTGACTTTATGTAAGTTTACTATAATAGCATTCATTGTGAACAAAATTACTTCTGATACCAGTATATTGTTGGCCTTTCTAAATTTTTTTTCTGTAGAATTTAGATGTATATTTATGGTAATTCTCGTTAAACCAAGTTAAGATAAGGTGATGATTTTTTCCAGAATTTATTTGGCTCTACGAAACATGTTTGAGTATGCAACCACCATGGAGGTAGACTTCACTAAGTAAAACGATCCAATCAGTCAGAGAGATTTGACCGATTTTTTTGAAATTTTTACAGGTTCTGAAGCATCTACGTATTTGCTAGTGCCCAGCCGTAATCATATTTACTGACCTTAAGGCCCCATATGAATCTATAAATCAACAGGTCCTATCAGGAACTTTCATTAAGAGGTGCATTAACGTACCAAAGGTCTCTAAACCGGACATTATTTGTCTCGCCGAAGTTCTATTTGTTTGTCATTTGAACTGATTACATCAACTGTTCTTCTGGGTTCAGTTTTAATACAGACATTTTAGAGATTTGTTTTCTGTCTAGAAACGTATAGGCTCAAAGTGAGAAGATAATAGTTCTTACACTGGCAAAATATAGGGTTGCCTAAATAACAGTACATGAATGTTTGGGATGTTGTCTTTTATGATTAATTTTTGTGTTAGCACCGTACTTGTTGAGACCTTACTGCCAAGGACGGTTATCCGTGGGATAAGGCAAGGTGTGCATTTTTACGGTCGACCTTTTCCAACCCGACCCCTCCTTGTGGGAAGGCAGCATCGCTGTTATGCTGGTTGTCTGGAGGAAACACCTAACTGCCGTCACACTTCTGTACAGTCAACAGTACGACTTCGCACTCAAACCTTGGTTTTGCTGCTTTTAGTCTTACCGCTCTTCAACCGACCTGTCGGGCATAGTGGGACCTTGAGGAACGACTGTTCCAGCCAGAATAGCTTAATTGATCCATCACGATAGGCAAGCCCGACCCCTAAATGCCCTGGTACGGCCGAGTGGGGGGTCAGCTCTCCCTCTCGAAATGCTCTCACATGGCCACGTGTATATAGCCACGGCCAGGGAAGTTCTATTCACTGCTTCAGTATCCTGAAGAAACAAATGGAGTATGAACCGATTATTAGTCACAGTCTACCATAGGACTGCATCTCCTCACGTCGCTCCGGGTGTGGCCCCCTAAGAAAACTACCTACTTCGGTTTGGGCACCTGGACAGTATCACAGCCCTCACATAAATTAGATGAAATTTGTGTGGCGCGTATGTATCTGGTGCCCCCTTGTACCATGTGTTGGTCCACCACATCAAGGTAGCAACAACGGTCGGGCTCAGGATCGATCACAATGGCGTCGGTGTATACACTCTCTATCTTCCCTTAAACTAAGAGATTAAAATCGCTTCATATCTTTCTTTCTGCGAACTAATTCTTTGTTCCTGTACTATGTCCTTACATGCAATCTTTCTTTTATATATTACCACCACTACTTCTATGAATCCGGCATTCATCTTGTTGTGCTAATGGGTATGGAAACTTGGACCGATGCACATGCGTGCCTGGTCCTTCGTTATAGCTGACTGACTGATTGATATTGTCTTTTCTACATAAATCCAATATATTGCTCCAAATCCGGTCTGCATCAGTAGCCAGTCAAAATATAACGGATTATTTGATCATCCTGACCACTTAATTTACTTGTGAAGTCTCATAGGTTTTGGTGGGTCAATGACAAGATAACGACATGGATACAAGAGCATTGTTAAGTGAAGGGAGGATGTTAGTCTATTAATCACATAGCAGATACATTGTACATAATTTTGATTGTAAAACGGCTTTGGAGATGATTGTTATGTTTTTGATGGAGTTTTGTTCTCTGAGCTGGATGGTTTAGTCGTGGGGCTTTCATCGTTCTTCTGAGCGACATCATCAGCACAAACTGCAGGTGGAATGAATGTTATTTATCACTTCTTTATATAATTCAATCATCTAATATCATATATGTTTTGTTGTATGAACTTACTTACTCATTGCTCTTCGTCTAGTTTCCCAAATCAACTGCATCTGCGATAAACAAGTTATTTTAGTGAGCATGACATAATTATGAAGTACTTTTTGTGCTTGAAATTTCGTTCTATCGTTGGTGCTGTTTACTTTTAGAGCAACGTTAAAATGTCCAAATTTTAAAATATGTGATATCAGTTAGTCATAAACTTCATCATACTTGTCGATTTATTTTGCCTTGTAGTTGTTATTAAGATGTTTTATGTTAGATGCTAAAAGAGCATACGTAGATGTCTTTTTCCTGTACGTCATATGGCTAATCCATTTGACGAAACAATATTAGAAGGATTTATATGTCCAAAATGTATGGTTACGTTTGGAACTCCTGATTTATTGAGTCAACATTTCAAAGTAGAACATCAAAGTATCAATATCCCAGAAAATGGAGGTTTGAGTTATTCTAACCTTGATAGCTGTTGGTAGAATGCTTATCTGTAACTAATCCTGTACTCAAGACACAAGCAGATCCAAATACCTCAACTGCATTTTACGATCGAAAGAATGAAATTCAATCAATTGGTAAGCTTTTTAAATATTCATTTTAGGATACAGGCGTTTATCAGTCTCTGACGTCGAAATTCATGCAGTTGCGGAAAAACCATGTTAATCGCAGTTCATTAGAAACAAACCGTTTGTTAATACGTTTGGAAAAATTAATTGACGTAGCAGAAACACACGAAGGTGACCGAAAAGGTAAACACTTCACGATGAATTTATTTATTTTCAGTATTTGAACAAGCCATTGTACCGTGGATTGATGCAAAGGTAGACCTTTGTCCATACTGTGGTAAGGGATTTGGTTTAGGCGCTGAGATAGCTTTCCCAGATGAAGATGACGTGTACTTGAATTCCACAGAAAACAATGCAAGCATTTCTAGGTTTTGGCCTAACAAAATTAGTGTCACTCGTTTAACAAACGCTATTCTGGACTATAATCCTGTATACCGCAGGCGACATCATTGTCGTTTATGTGGATATGTTTTGTGTGCCGACTGCAGTTATTTTATTTCTATACATAATGCCCGTGGTCTTCTACATGCTCTTAACGGACAAGATTTATATCTTTTTCCGGTTCCTTCGAATGCATCTGATACTAATGATCATCCAAATTACTTACTGGAATCAGAAGTTATTTTTCGAAAAGGAAATATTTCTACCTCCCAAAACGGTAAGTGATTTCGATTTGACTTTAGTTATCAGTTAACTAATTTTCCGCGTAGCAAGTTATTAGTTCTTGTTAGATATGAATCATTTCCAGGAAGACATTGTTTTGATCGCTTCCCAGTACTTCAGGTTCAAAGTATAACCAAGCACATCTATGATAAATTCAACGTTTGGACTAAGTGACTGAAAGTTTCAGTACAAATGTATTTTAGTGAGATGCTTTCACTTAAAACAAGTGAGATACAATTGTGTTGTAAATATTTTCTAAATCTAAATATTTAGTGGGTATTTTATTATTCCGATACTTTATTGAACATGTTTATAGGACCATAAACGTTAACTTGGGATAAAGATTAAACTTTACTGGAGTTTTCTGTATGATCTTCGTGCTAAGATCATTTGTATTAAATTTTTCAAGACTATTGACTATGAATTTGTGAATTTGAAGGCTCGGAATCCTGTTAGTTTTATTTACTCAGCCAGATCATGCGTGTATACATTGGCTTGAATTCCGTAATCATCCCCAGAATTAAGCTCATTTATTTCGACAAACAATGGATTAAAATGTGCTGTTTCTGAAGTTATTTCATATTTGATGATGGTGTAGATAATTAGAAACATAAGTAGGCATACGTCAAAAGCAAGTCCCCAACTTATAGGATTCTATGATAAACCAAAAGAATGCTGCGGCATAGTGATGGTCACTCACGAAATCGAATTATCGACGTAAACCCCCGAACGATTTGAGATAAAAAAAACGAGACTACTGATATGTATGCTACTTATGCTTGCAGATATAAGTAGTATGTAACACCAGTTGGAGGGGAGTGTTTGTGAGCAGAAGGTTGACAATATTGCAATGAAGAGAAGAGAGATGGAAACTGAAGGCGATCAAGATAACATCAAGAATGAAGTAACAATGAAGCTTCTAAGTGATAATTCGAAGATGTGCAAATGGTGTACTTGATGGATGATTTTCACACTACTAAACTACTATGTGATTGTTTATTAATAATAAGCTGAGCTTCCTCACCTTAGTTCTTTGTTCACTATATTGGCCAGAAATATAGATTCCTATCTAACAAAATATACTTATATAGAAGTTATGACAAAATAAATATGACAAGACATCCTAAACATTTGTAGGATATCAGTTTTGAGGGTCCTCCACTCTTTAATGAATTGAGACGTTGCTCTTTATATCAGCGTCAACTTTTAATCTGAAAGATAAGGTTTTCAGTCAGAGTGCAGAGTGAAAAATTAAAATGGATCTATTCTAATATTTTCATCATTATCTCTGTCATGAACATCTGTAATGCTTCCTGAGAATACAAAATCAAGTAACGTAATATGCCGATCGTTTTCGTCGTATCATGTAAAATCGGTGACGATAAGAGTAAATTGTCAAATTTTTCTATCATCTAGGATCAGTCAGTCAACAACGTAGAACTTCGTACGTGCGTACATCACTTCGAGTTGCCATACAACGTTAGCACAGAGGTACAATTGTTGATTCAAATCCTATAGTGGTAGAGGTAGAAATGGTATAAGCAGTAATCGGAAAGATTAGGGTTTGAAGGTGTTGCTAAAGGAGTATAATCCAGTGAAATAAATTTGGAAAGAGAAAAAGGAGACAAGGAGAATTCAGGATATTAGAATTTGGGAGGACACAAAGAGTGGATGTATCAGTGCCATCGCAAACGATTTTGAGCTATGTCATTCAAGGTCTCAGAATATGGTCTCTAGGATAAATGTTCTGAATTTGTTTATTACTAGCTGCCAATTGCTCATCGGTTATTGACCAGTTTCGTAAATAACTTCTCAGTTTCCTTTTTATTTTAGAATTATCATCTCTTCATTATTCTGTTGTTTAGGTTATGAGTTGCGTATATGTCCTATTTGTATAAACATTTTGAAGAGGAAAATTAGTAGTTTGAAAACGTTACCAATCAATACCCCAATTATCCAAATGCATATAGTAAGTAACTCTGTGTTATGTTTTTCATGATGCAGCGTTTATACTTGGAATAACAGATATGATTAAGTACAGTAATCTCCCCATCAAGGTATTCCATCATTTGAATTCAGTCCAAACCATACCTTATTGTCTCAATTAAAAACAGGCTGTAATTAGTACTACTAAAAAACTCAACGAATTCAATACAAATCTCAAAAATAGGTTCCAAGCATTACAGGATCTATTGAAAGAAGAAGAAACTACTAAAGGGATCAGAGAACCACCAACTTCAACGTGTCATGAGGTGCTGGGTCTCAAGAAGCATCATCATAAGCGATGGATTTCTATCGAAACCATGGACTAGATTCAAGAAAAGAAGAGCAAGAAGACAGCAATTAACAACAGCCGAACAAGAGTAGATAAAGTCAAGGCACAGACCAAATACACCGGCGCAAACAAACAAGTGAAGAAAAGCATTAGAGCCGACAAGCAGAAATAAGTGGAAGAGCTAGCAACGATAGCAGAAAAAGCTTCAAGAGGAGGAAATATGAGACAGCTGTATGATAAAACGAAGAAACTAGCAGGAAAATGCGGTGAACCAGAGAGACCGGTCAAGAACAAAGAAGGCAAGATAATCACCGAGGCTCGAGAACAGAGGAACAGATGGGTGGAACCTTTTGAGGAATTCTTGAATAAACCAGCTCCATTGAATCCACCGAACATCGAAGCAACACACAGACCTTCCTATAGCTGTCACTCCACCAACGATCGAAAACAATCAGGGTGGCCACCAGACAAATCAAGAGAGGGAAATCAGCATGACCTAACAATATACCAGGTGAAGCTCTGAAATCACATATAGAAGTAACTGTAAACATGCTCCACGTTCTATTCAGGATGATTTGGGAGGATGATCAAGTGCCACGGACAGACTGGAAAGAAGGACACCTCATCAAGATACAAAAGAAAGGAGATCTGAGCAAGTGTGAAAAATACAGGCGCATAACTTTACTGTCAGTACCAGGAAAAGTTTTCAACAGGTGTTGCTGAACCGGATGAAAGACAGTAGACGCCCAACTTCGAGATCAACAGGCCTGGTCCGTAAGGATCGGTCGTGCACAAACCAAATTGTGGCACTACGGATCATCGTTGGTTGTTCAACGATTATCCTTAGTGTTCCCTAAATGCCCTGGTACGGCCGAGAGTGGAGAGGGGCCGCCCTTCCTCTCCAAATGCTCTGGCACGGCCACGCGTATTCAGCCTTTGCTGAGGAAGTCCTACTCACTGTCTTCTTGTGGCGGGGGTGTTGTTTACGAGATTGAGAGGACGAAAATGGAATATGTGGTGCTTTAACCGGGTCGGCGGACACAGAGGACCCACTTAGGGGAGTTGGAAAACCCTGATTCCAAACCAATGATGCACATGGGTCTCAGTATCCTGAGGAAACAAATGGAGTATAAACCAATTATTGGTCACCGGCTACCATGGGACTGCATCTCCTGACGTTGCTCCACTGCCTTGTGGGTTAGACCTTTAGGTCGAAGGCTCGGGATGTGGTCCCCTAAGAAAACCATCTGCCTCGGTCTGGTCATCCGGGTAATATCATAGCTCTCACACAATTCAGATGAAATGACAATGATTATTTGAAATACTGCCCTCACTCCTATTACAATTCGAACAACCCATACCCATTTTATTACATTCACTTTTATTTTTTGTACTACGTCACTTATCTACCCTCTTCCATCTTCACTTTGCGTATCCTTACTTTTCAACTTATACAGCAGCTCGCTTCTGGTGGAAATTCCGTTCTATATGAACGTTTTCGAGTCACTGACTGGTCGAAGATCGAATGCTACCACCGAATACGAATACTGAGAAAGTTTTTCTGAAACCACGTACACCATTCAAACTGGCTGCCTTCAACGTTCGCACACTAACGCAGATCGGGCAACAGATTGGGCTGGCTATGTCTTTAGAAAGTCTTAATACCGACGTTTGTTGTCTATCCGAAACCCGTGATCAAGACTTTGGTGAAGTACTACAAATTCGCTCTCTATCTGTCGCTTCAAAAGACTTGTTTCACGTGGGTTTATCCGGGGATTTTGTGGCACCTTCGTCCGGCCTTGATGGCGTTGTTGTCGCACTTAGCGCTAGAGCTGAGGCAGCACTAATTGATTGATGCCCCACTAACAGTCGGTTACGTGCTGTTAGATTAGAAAGTTCTATTAGGTTGAGAAGAAATCTGCGTGAGAAACGATGTCTTTTCGTCATCTCCGCCTATCGTAGCCCGGATGCGATTGAGTATGAATTTTACCACCAGTTAACTGTTCTTCTCGATCAGACTGTCCTGCCCTTCATGGTCAGTGACGACTGATCCACTAAATGAGGCGGAAGTCCTCAAGGAACTCCAAATCTTGAAGTATTAAAAAATCACCGGGCTCTGATTACCTACCTCCGGCTCTTTTTAAAGATTGTATTAACTTTCTGGTTAAAGAACTGACTACGTTGTTTACGAAATTCTGGAAGCTGGATAGTGTTCCAATATCATGGAACGAGTTGCTAGATGTCCCTATCTTTAAAAAGGGTTTACGTTGTTTCTGTAGCAACTATCGAGGGATAAGTCTACTTCCGATTGCATCTAAACTGTTGGCTTCCGTCATAATCCGCAGGTTTTTCAAAACCCGAGAAAGACTGACTCAAGAGGAGCAGGCTGGGTTTCGTTCCGGTCGAGGATGTATTGATCATATCTTCACCCTCCGCCAAATGTTCAGCCAGTCACTCGGTCAGTCAGTAACAACGTAGAACTTCGTACGTACGTACATCAGTTCGAGTTGCCACACCACATTAGCACAGAGATGCAGTGGTCGATTCAAATCCCGTAGTGCTAGATGCAGTAAAATTATAAGCTGTAATCAGAAAATTAGGGTTTGAAGATGTTATTCAAGGAGTATAATCCAGTGAAATAAATTTGGAAAGAGGAAAAAGAAAGGGACATGAAGAATTCAGAAGATTAGAATTTGGGAGAACACAAAGAGTGGATGCACCTGCGTCATTGCAAACGATTTTGAGCCATGTCATTCAAGGTCTCTAACCATCGGTTGCTATCATCTCGCGGTCCCCAACCAGGTAGTCTACACCTACCAACATGACTCAGACCACTTGTCAGTGACTTCATGAATTTGTGCCATCTTTTGGTCTGGCCGGCCCTAGCTTTCTTCCAACCTACTCCTATACCACTGAACATCGCACGTCGAGGCAGTCGGTGGTTGGGCATACGTAACACGTGTCCCAGCCATCTCAACTGAAGTAGTTTTACTACGTCATCAATTGATTTACCATCCTTACCTAGTACGCGTTTCCTAACAACTGCATTACTTACTCGGTGGTCCCAGGATATACGAGCAATGTTTCGAAGACACCTATGATCAAATACTAGTAACCTACGGATATCATCTACTCTTACCGGCCATGTTTCACCACCATAAAGTAGGACGGAACAAACTGCTGTGCAGTAAACACGTCCTTTGGTTGATAGACGGATATCTCGCCTTCGCCATAAATGACACAAGTTGGTAAAAGCTGGTCGACCCTTCTGTACCCGTGCTGAGATATCGTCACACACTAGACCACAAAGGCTGATGAGACTTCCAAGATAAATCAAGAGGTCAACACGCTCAACATCTTCACACTCTATCATTATTTCGGGTGTCAATGCAACCCAATCCTGAAGCAACATTTTGCATTTCGAGGGGGAGAATCGCATCCCGAACATGCTTGCATTGTTGTTTATGGTGGAGAGAGTGGACAACCCTGACGAACACCACTCTAGGTAATCAATTCTGATGACAGTTCGGCATAAGCTCTCACTCGTCCAATTGTGTTCGGGTAGAGTCTGTATAAGTTTAATGTACTTCTTTGGTATTTCTTTCAGTGACAAACATTGCCATAGAACCTTACGATCAACAGAGTCGAATGCCGCCTTAAGGTCGAGAAATACTACGATTGTGGGGCGTCTGAATGTGTGTCTGTGTTCTAGGACCTGACGTAGTGTGAATATCTGGTCTATACAACCACGTCCAGGTCGAAAACCAGCCTGATTTTCTCTAGTCTGTTCTTCACGAGCTTTGGTTAGGCGTCGAAGTATTAATGAAGCTAATATTTTAAACACTATATTAGTCAAGCCGATTCCTCTGTGATTGTCACAAGAGGCCTCTTGTCCTTTCTTATGGACTGGCACAATCAGTGATTCAGACCAGTCAAATGGGATTACGTCCAGTTCCCAAATTCTACCTAAGACCTCAGCCAATCTCGCTGCTAATACTGGACAGCCATCCTTAAAAATCTCAGGGGTAAACCTGTCAGGGCTGCCTTCGATTCGTTGGACAATTCTGTTCTCTGGGATTGTCTATCAAAGAAGTGCGTGCCTGAGAAGTTTATTAACATCCTAAAAGCCCTATATACAAATACCTCAGGCAGAGTGAGGGCATAAAACTACCTTTCTCCATTGTTCCATTCAAGCAGTGGTGTTAGACAGTGTTACCCAATCTCACCATTCCTCTTCAACTTTGCCATCGACGACATTCTGTAAACAACTCTGGTGGACGTAAGTAATGGCAGTGTAGATCTGTTGCCCGGAGAAAGACTTCTCGACCTTGAGTATACGGATGATATTGTCTTACTGTGCGATAATGCCCAAACCATACAACCCGCACTTAATCAGTTGGCAACCAGTGTCCGTAGGTTCGGCATGTGCTTTGCACCTCCAAAGTGCAAAGAACTTCTACAAGACTGGCAGGACCCTGATCCTGTACTCACCGTGGGTGGTGAGCAGATAGGAGTAGTCGTGAAGTTCGTGTATCTAGGTAGCTGCATAAGTGCTGGTGGGGGTGTGAGTGATGAGATCAATTCACGTATAGTGAAAGACAGTGGCTTATGCCAATCTGAGTCATCTTTCGCGTCTTCGTGATGTCAGTCTGACTGTAAAAGGTGTGATCTACAACAGTTTTGCTCCAGACTTG